TACTACAGAGAAAATCCTTTATGCCCATGAAAACATGCACGCATCAAAACAGATTAAAAAATTCTAAATGTCTTAATATATCCCCAGGCTTGAGGAATTGCTTGCCTTTTTTGTTACCTCTGTTTATAAAAAGGAAAACAAATGTTATGATTGTGAGCTGACCTGTTACTATTACTTCTGTAATCGTATATATGTAAAAATTTAGTAATAGAGAGATGTTTAAATGTGGGATTTGGTTATGCTGTTGTTAGTACAGAATATGCATCATCCTGAAAACACCTGTAGCCCTCCAGATCTTTTGAACTGCAACTACAACACAGTGTTCCTGTGTTGACAAGTGCTAGGAAGTGAGGTTCTGACTCTTTGGGAGCCCAAAAGATCTCCATCTTTGGAAAAGAGCACACCTGGCAAAGTGGTGGTGCTTAAACTGTGTTTGATGAGAGACTGGAATATGGCTGAGAAATTAATGGTGGATCCTTGGAGTGGAGCATTCTCATCCCAAAAAACTACACACACCTGTTTGGGTTGTACAATTTCCCCATCTTAAATTGGAATAGTCACTTTTCCTCAATAGTTTGAATTTTTTTTAAAGTTAAAGTTCCTGGGTATGGCTTGAATGTATCTATTGCTTTGTACTTTCTGCAGTTTTATCTAACACACATTTTCGTAAGCCAGTGTCCTAAAGCTTATCTGCATGTTTCTTTTACTTACATAAGCATTTTACCCTTGGCCACCTCCATCCCACTATAGGCAAGGTTGGATCAGTACTTCAAAATTAGGTGAGTGCCAATTAGAATGTGAATTGGACAAATTTCTCCCCATTCCTAGAAATTCTATAATCTCATTATGCTGAGAAACTAAGAATTCATGGAACTCTATAATTTACACTGCAGCTGATGGGCAGTGTGTCCCATAAGCATTGTCATTGTTCAGAAGATACATTGAACTGAATGCACTGAAGGGCAAAGTTGGAGGCCAAGGGGATATAAACAGGATTATCCCACAATTGCTAAAAAGGTGCCTCTCCCAAATGGCCTGGAATTTGATCTGGGCAATATTTGTATATTTTCAAATGAAAAGGGCTATGTAATTTTAATCCAGAAAAGGATTGGGTGGCCAGTGCTGACTTTCAGTACATCACAGCAAGGAGTTACTTTGCCACACAAAAAATCTGCAATACAGAATCAGATCTACTAATGATTTACTTTCCCACATTTGGGGAAATCACAGGAATCAGTACATCCAGAGTGCAATGGATGGAACTTGCGCTGGGAAAACCACTTCATGATCACAGTATTTCTCCTGCCATGATAGCATGTTGGGTTACCTCGTTTAGGAACATCTGCAATTCAATTTTCTTTCCTATTTTTGGAATCCATTTTGCTTAACCTTAAAATAAGGTGACCTCTGTAACACAGGTGCTTAAAAATTGCACTTCCTGTTGCACTCAGACTTCACAGCAATGGTCATGCTGGCTAGAAGGTTGGTCATGCTCAAATCCACATATCTGGAGGGCACTAGGCTAGAAGAGGTTGATCCAAACCACCAAAATTCACCTTCCTATTTAAATGGTAGAGTTTCAGGGGTGGAGGGAGAGAGAAACAGAACAGATAGTTTTGAAAACCTTTGCATCTTGTTTTCTACATTTTAAGGCTGTTCTCAGAGAGATGGCTTCTGCACACAGTTCAGGAAATTCAATGCCTACGTGAAGACTAGAATCAAAGACTGCTTTGTCACAGAGCTCTGATAATACAGCCACCACTTCCTGATTTTTTACTTCTCTTAGTGTTGATTGCTGTCACTTCTGCATGCCAGGAAATCCATAAAGGAACAGAGGTCAAATGCCTCTTCTTTCTCTTTTTCTCAGAATACCTGGAAGCACCGATAGTCTTTGCCTCCCTGCAGATGATCAGGTTTCAGGAATCTCCCAGTGTTTTTGTTTTTTAACTTCAGTGGGTTATCACTTGGGCAACATAAAGGGCCTCTTCACATAATCACATTTATCATTTTAAATAGCTTGGAAATATGGAAAGAAAAGAAATTGTTGTCCTACCAAACAAAAGCTTCATTACTGGGCTGTCTAAAACATCATAAATATTGTGAGACAATAGCTCAAACTACATTATTTTAGAATCTTGACTTAAAATTAAGAGGCTTTCATCTTTAATTATAGCTTCATCAACATGAAGAATATGTTGTCTGAAAATGTTTTATGTTTTGATTTGGTCTCATCTGAACTTGTACTAAGTGTTATCAACTATGTGAAATCACAATAAAATGTAGCTAGGTTGGAGAGATCTCTATCACCAAATGAGTAACACAAAATGACTGGATTCTCACATCACGGTAAGCTGTTCTTTGATTGTGGTTTATTAAGCTACAACTGGCTGGATTTCCATTAGATGATAAATCACAAACTTTGTTTTATAAACCACAGTGACTAGTTTCACAGACCACCTAAGTAAAAACCAAACAAACCATATTTTGATTATATTGATGTGTGAATTCATTGTCTTACATTTATATAAAAGTTTTGTTACCTATCATTTCAGCTTATAATCTTATCTGAACTCAAGAGACAAAAAATTACATTCTTGCTTAGGGAGGTTACCAATTCTGTTCTTAATATGGTGCTTATATTTGTTCCAGCCTGTTATTTATAGGTTGCACTCATCAAATCCACAACTGAGCATTTGAGGCCTACTTAAGACAAAGTGTGATTCTATGAAAGCTAACTCAAAAGTAAATTCCATGGGCTTCAATGGGGTTTACTCTTGGGAAGATGATTAGAGGACTGCAACTGTTTCCCAGCTGTGTATCCCTGATTTAAATAGAGGTGATGGCTTTTGCAATCACCCTTGCTTGTTGTCAAATCATCTCATGACTTCTACAATTTAGCATAATCAAATGTAAATTGCTTTTTTTAAAAACTGACAGAGACAGAGAAGTTATTTTCTATAAGAAAAGCATAAAAAAAAAGTTTCAGAAAAACTGCAGACATAACCTAAGACATATCGCAAAAATGAAAGGAACTCTTTCTTCCATTCATTTATCTACATAAAAAAATATGTACATCCCTGAGCCTTAAGGTGAGCAATCACAAATTGAATGCTCTTATAGTTCCTTAACTGCCTAATCCTATGCTTGTCTACGGAGAAATCATTTGAACTGGGTTGAATGGGAGCTTATATCCAGGTAAGAGCATATAAAAGTGGAGCCTAGTAGCTCCAATAGAAGTTTCTTTGGACGCACACAAGCTGAGATGCCAACAGAAATCTTGCATTCCTTCAAGGCTGCCTTTATTCAGTGCACTGTCAAGGACAGCTTCACGAATCAAAAACAGATGTACACAAGTATTTCCTTTAGCAAGAAACGGTGCTTCTGAAAAGCATATGTGCACCCCTAGATGACTGTAAGTATAGATAAGAAAAAATATGTTAGTGATACGGCAAAATCTCTCTGGCAAGTTTTGGGACTAAGCCTGGAAACAGAAATATTTTATTAGAATGAAGCTTAATTTATTCCAAGCCTATTTTTGTGCCAAATCCAGCCTACTGCATTGCTAAGTTTGGTAAGGTCAAATCCACTTCCTTGAAATGCTCTTCCATTCTGCTTACCATCCTTCGTCAGCCCCCAAATTTACAATTCACAGGACTGGCACACAAGCACATTGGAACATACTAATTGTTTTTTATTGTGCACATTTGTAATTTCAGCAGAAAAATATGGAGCTCCTTGAAATGCAAAGCCTCTGAGGCTACAATCTTAGGCAGCCCAACCTAAAAACCAAATAAAGGTGTGAAGAGGTTGTTGTCAACTAAAATAGGGATGTCCATTTCAAGAAGATACAATTTTTTAAAATGTTCTAAAAATTCTAGTAAATACAACATAATTGTAATATCAATTGGGTCATGTCAGTTGACAAAAAATAGCCCTATGATGTTGACAAGTTTGATGAAAGAATTGGCTGGGAAGGCTTCAAAAAAACCCTTCTATCACTTGTTTTCTCGTAGGCAGATAAGCTAGATGTAGAACGTGCTTAGACGTTGGAGAGAGATCTTATCCAATTTCAGCTTTTATTCAAACTTAACTGCTCTGGGCTTGTACAAATTTGAAAAATAAATAAGAAATTATATTTAGGATTTCAATTCTTATTTTTATTAAGAAATGCTAGCAAATCTTCTGTATGAAAGAATAGGAAAACTTCCTATCCTGTAATGACATGGACAATATCCCCCATCTTGTGAAAAGTACTTTCATTATATGTAAGTTATAGCCAGCATAAAAAAGATACATGTTAAAGATGTTGAAGCGATACAGTATAATTTTATATACATTTACTAGTACAGTAGTCTCTCGTTTAACCGACCTTCGCTTATCCGACATTCCGTCTTATCCGACGCCCCTAAAAAAAACACAACATGCATAAATCAATGAAGAGAAAAGTGTGCCGCTTGTTTGCGAGCGTGAGTGTACTCTTTCTTGTTGCTCCTGACAGTGCGGCGCCGCAATGCAAAAATCGATTGCAACAGGCGCAGCAGGCGTGCGCGTCTAGCCTATGACTCATGTGTCGGTCATGTCTCGCCTTTCCTAATGGTCGCCCAGTGCAGTTTGTTATTGTATGCGGATTGGGTTTGGTTTTTTTTACCGCACTTAATCTTCTTTTTTTTTTTTAATCTGTGCTCAGTCGTTACCGACTCTGCAGTGACTGCTTGGACG